AAAATAATGATTTAAGAAAGGAAGATAATTTGTCATGATTAATGAGAATATAATTTAATTTAATGGTAATTAAAATACTGTAATTATATCAAAAAGTAATGTTTGTTTGGTGTAATTAGAAAAAAATAATTAATAATTAATAAATTTTAGTAATAATATTTGTAGTTATCAAGAATTATATTAAAAAAGAAATATAATATAACGTTAATTTCGATCGTTAATTACATAAAATATATGATAATACCGTTAATATCCTTACGTAATGTTTTGATTGTTAATATGTTTAGACTAAATTAATATTAAATATTTCAGTGGTACATCACACAGGTAAAATAATTTTTATAATATATAAAGATTGGATTTTGTATAAATTTAATAATGATTAGTAATTATTAACATATATTTTATCCAAAATTTTCATTTATTTTGTAGAAATAAATTTTATAATGATTGGTACTATTTTATTTCCTTTTATTAGTAATATTTTTTAATTACTAGATTAAAAAAAGCGTATTACAAGCTTAGTAACTATTGATACTGATAAAATATTAAAATAATGATTTAAGAAAGGAGAATAATTAGTCAATGATTAATTGGAATATGATTTAATCTACTTTAATGATAATTAAAATATTATAATTTCATAATTATATAAAAAGTAACGTTTACATAAAATATGTATTTATTTTTATCTAATTTTCCCGTTTACTTTGCAAAAATAATTTTTATAATATATAAAGATGGAAAATTTTGAAAATCTAATAGTGATTAATAATTATTAAAATATTTTATCAATATTTTTCTTTTATATTGATATTTTTTTTGTTGTGTGAAAATAAATTTTATAATATATAATGATTGAATTTTGTAGAAATTTAACAATGATTAGTAATTATTGAAATATTTTTATCTAATTTTTTTCTTTATTTTGATATATTTGATATTTTTTTGTTATAATTTTTTTTAATTATTTTCAATAGCAATTTAACTATATCTATATATAATCTATACATAGACACCAGCACTGACACACACAAATATATACAAGGGATATATGAGTTTATAATTATATTTTTGTCTTCATATTTTTTAGATAATTTTATTCTTGAATTTTTTAAATAATAAAAAATATTATTAAAAATTAATCATCTATTTAATCGCTCAAATTAATTAATTAATTATAATTCCTCAAATTCTTAACCACCTTTGTTACAACCTTTGTTTTTTATTTTATTTTAAAAATATAGAAGCCCAAAGTACCTTAAATCTATTAGTTTTATAATAATATTTATATAAAAATATTTAGGAGGAAGTTTTGGAGAGAAAAATATTTAAGAGGGAGTTATTGAAGGGAAGTTTTGGAGGAAAAAGTTATTTTTTCTGCATTATTTACTTATAAATGAAGTGATGAAGGAAGAATGACACAAAAATAATGTTATACAATTTTTTCTGTATATGTAACGTTATACCAAAAACAAATTAAATGAAAATATAATACGCTTTTTTAACATTTGTTAACATTATGTTATTTGTTTAATATAATAAAATATGTCATTTTTAATTAAATCATTTATTTATTTATATGTAATAAATGTTTATATTTAATGGTTTATATTAGTAAATCAGTAGTTTGAATGGTATTAAACTCAATCATTTCAAACAATATATCAATGTAACCAACTAGATTCCCTAATAGAGATTAATTATTGACAGAAAAATACTGTGTACCAATAACGTGATTATCAAGAAATATATAAAAGTCCATATTTATCTGTTAGTCAAGTAGCCTCGTGTAACTTAAGAGGGGGGTGAATTAAGTTATCTAATTTTTCTTCTCTTTATAAGTTTTTCTAACTTCTTTCTTATAAAATCAATATTATAAACAAATTGTATGTAATGATGCAAAAACTTCACAACAAAATTAAAAGTATAGGGAAAGGGAATTGCAAACTTGATTTTATACTGGTTCGGCCAACCTTGCCTACATCCAGTCCTCAAGTCTCCCACTTGAGATTTTTCACTATGCTTGTAACCTTTACAAGACTCAAATTCTCCAACACCTAGGAATTCCCTTTCCTCGTGTTGAGAATCACAGACCACCAAGGAGAACAACACTTTCTCCTTTACAAATCAATAGATGAGATGAATGAAGTAGAACAACTCTCTTTGAAGAGTGGATTTTACACTTGTTGATCTAGTAGAACTCTTTAGATAATATTTGCAAATGATTTTGGCCAAGTGATTGTAAAGATAATTTTTCACAATTGAGTTTGTAACATTTTTCTGAAAAATTATTGGTATTTATAGATGATTGTTTCATAGGTCATGACTTTTCATGAAGAGTTGTGACTTTCTAATATTTTCCAGAAAATAGGCTTTGGTAATCGATTACAAGACTTGGTAATCGATTACAACGGTTTAATTTCAAAATGCTTGGAACGTTGTAAAATTTAAATTTAAATTTTGAAATTTTTATCTTTTGGTAATCGATTACATGGAATTGGTAATCGATTACCAGAGCACGTTTTAATAAGTAAATTTTGAATCATATGAGTTTCATTCTCTGGTAATCGATTACATGTACTGGTAATCGATTACCAGACTGTTAAAAACAATAATTACCTTATTAAAACTTAAAATATAGAAAACCTTTATTTTCAAATCCTTATTAATATAAAAGATTATATTTGGGTTTTCTTGAAATTCTTTATTTTAAATGACCATGAATCTTATGCAATATTTCTAAAAAATTCTTTTTACATATAAAGCTAGGTTGACAATACTTATCTAAAATGTTTCTTGATCACCTTGCTTTAACTTGAGCTCTTGTTTTCTACAATTTATTTGGCATCATCAAAATCCTTTACATACGTTCTTTCACATTATCATTTTGTTTAAATGTATATGATGTTAGGACTAACCCAAGGTGAGGTTGTGTAGGGCAAGAGGGAGAATGTTGGTGGCTTAGTATGAAAGCATGGCTGTAGTAGGGTGAGAAAGAGAGGAAAAAAGAAAAAAAGAAACTAGCAAAGGCGATATAATGTTAATCTCACAGAATATCAAAATTTAATGGTTTAGAATTAAAATAAAATATGGATAATTGTGAACCACCTATCATGGTGGTTCAAGTTAAATTTTTTTTTTAATCTTATTAACTTTGATGACTAAAATGAACTACTTATAAATCTATATTGAAAAAATACTTTTAAATTTGGGGATAGAAAAAAAAATGTTAAGATTAGTGACTAAATGAAAAGTTGGCCTAAATTTCAAGGACAAGATATAATATTTTAAATTAAAGTAATTAGATTATTTTGGATAAATTTAAATATATATTTGATATATAATCAATTAAATGCATTAATTAGAGTGAAAAAAAAGGGTAAGTGATTTTAGAATAGTAAGAAGGAAAAAGTTTTATTATTTTTGCAAGAATAAAAAGAAAAATGTATTGTTGCATATTCTCATAATTTTATTTTCTTCCATTTTTTTCATTTCATTTTTCTCACACTTTTTTTGACCCTTTCATTTTCTTCTTGCCTTCCTCCTTTGTGAGTTAGGTGACCATTATTATCACTATCACCACAATGTAGTCTTTTTCCTTTATCCTCCTTACTCTTCTAACTTTTTTCTTCCTTTTTGTTTCCTCTTTCTTTTAGTGAATTTTCTCTTCTTTTTCCCTCACCCTTTCTTTCTCTACATTGCCATGAATAGGATTTTGAATTGTATTTTAATTTAGGATTAAAATATGATCACTTATGTTTTGAAATGTGTTAACAAAGTGTTTTTTATTAATAAAAAGAAATTATAATGACAATAATATAATTAAAATTCAAGATTTTATACACACTACCTTAACTCCTCACCAACAAGTGGATCACAAGGGTTCTAAGATGTTAAAATATGAGATAACAATGATTTCTTTTGTTTTGATTTTGTTTAGAGGTGACAAAATGGGTCAGTCCGATTTGCCAGTGGCCTGCCAAAAATGGATCGGACTAGGTAGGCCCACCAATAAAAAACAAGTTGAAAATCTTGGCCCACCTTGTTTAAAGGCGGGCTGGCGAGCCAATTCACATAAAAAAAAAAACTTAGAAAAATTAGATTTTACAAAATCCAAATCAATTTAAACTCCTAAAATTGAAAATGTATACTGTTTATCTGCTCAATAAATTCAAACTACAAACTTACAAATTATAACTTACAAACAAATCAAATACAAATTAGAAATTACTAATAGACCTTCACAAATCAAACACACACAATTGTTCTTTAACATCTATTTCAAAAACATTATATTTTCCCTTAGAAGTTGTCTCCATTACTCCCATTATACATAAAAAAAACTTGGTGGGCCAACCCACCCGCCACGCAATTTAGCCCGGCAAACTTTGAAGTCATAATACTTGGCTTGACTTGTTAGTTTTTGGTAGGCTAGGAGGTCGATCCACAAATCATAATCCATTTGCCATTTCAAATTTTGTTGTAGTGATTTTGGGAATTAAATAAAAAAATTATAAAATAGTACTTGTTAATTTAAACAATCACTACTATTAATAATGTTAATGTTACCATCATTATTATATTATTGTTATTTTAAGTTTTTCACTATTATCATAACATTGTCATTACATAAAAATTTTCTTAAACTAATTTTACTAAAATAAGAAAGTTTATTTTGAAACAAAATAAAAAAATAGTTGTAAACTCTTCAAACGGGTGTTGATTTATGAACTTCTTAATATAAGGGCCTAATTATTATTTTTTAAATATTTGAAGAACATACAAATGGATTTAATCCTTCATAATATTTTTTATATTAGTTTTTATATTAGTTTTGCATAAAACTTCCACTTATTCGGGAAAGATCACCGCGGGAAGAATATTTATGCAAAATAAATAAATAAAAAATAGCATAGAGCAAAATGGCGGGAATCAACCACCCAACAAAAATTGGCGGGAAAGCATGCCCTAAAAAGGTGCATAGCCTGCAATCTGTCCCTCATTCCGATCTCAGCACAAACACACACACACAGAGTGAGTCTGAGCGAGCAATCGGCGAGTCACGACTCAGCCATGGTGGGCCCACAGTACGATTTTCTCGCCAACCCATTGGGCGCCGTCAGATCCACCTTCGACGCCGCCGTGGCCTCCGCCTCCGACCCCGCCTCCTTCGACGGCCGCGACTGGGGCGCCCTCCCCCTCTTCCGCCAATTCCTCTTCGACCACTCTAATCTCTCTCAGGTTCACTCTTTTCCACTCCACAAAAACAAAACCCTATTCTGCAATCACGCAATCTCAATAATAGCTCACGTTTTTCGATTAATTAATGGAACAGGTTCCCCTTCTCACCCCCGCCACTATCCGATGGATCAAGCCCAACACCCTCGTTCGGTTCCGCGGAATGATACAAGACATGCTCGGGAACGAATTCTACGTCGGCGCTTACAAGGTTTTTTTTTTCTTTCTTCTTTCTATTTATCGTGTTTTTAATTCACGGATTAGTTAGTTAGTTAGTTACCTTGAGTTTATTAAGCTTTGGGTGAATGATTATTGAAGGATGGATCGGTGTGGAGGACGAACAAGTTTATGGATGTTTCTCAGTTTCCGATGAGTTCTTCGGCGGATATGCGAATCTGGGAACGCCAACTGCTTTATTGTGTTCCAGTGAGTCACTGTTTGATGTATCATATGCTTAGACAGTGTTTTTTCTTCTTCCAAGTATTAACTTTGTTTGTGTATAATAGGTTCCGGGACTGAATCCGTGGACTCAAGTTTCAGCTGAAGAATTTGATAATCTATCCATGGATTGGACATCGGAGAATAGAGAAAAGCGGAGGAGGGAAGATGACGAGTCTTCTGATATGCCTGTATTTTCCTGGCCTTATGTTACTTCCTTTATTTGTTTATTGTTTCAGTCAAATTGTCATGTCATGAGTGTATGAACACTCATGCATTTTGGGGGGCCTACATTCTTATAGCTTATGCTTTTAAGATTAATGTGATGTTTTGGATTCTATAGGTTTTCTTCATAAATTTTGGAAGTGCTACATACAGGGTAATACTTGTCTTTCAAGATTTTTTTAACTGGTTTCTGTTTTTTTACAGGTATCAGGTGACGAGGATCAGATTTCTCCAAATTCTAAAAGAATGGTATACTGAGCTTTCATCTGACCCTGGACTTCTGTTTCAATGAATTTTGCTCGTAGAAAATAGTAATCCAAGGATTAGCTTTATTAATATTTTGTTTAAAGTGAGTTGTTATAAGTTGTGCTGATTTCTGTTGTTCCATTGTGGTTGGCTTTTAAGTTAATTTCTCAGTTTCAATTAAATTCAAACCAAGATCTAGATATTTTTGGTCCAAACTTTGAAAAGCCATACAAACCTTCATCCAAGTTGTTAGTATGAGGTCTTGAGCAGTTTATAAGTTACACAGATAGATAGGTCCAGTTATATATATATATTTTTTCAGTTTCTGATATGAATGTGTTTACCAGATAATCCAATTTTTATTTCTTCTTGCAAACTTCTATTATTGTTCTTCTGAGAATTGATCTTACTGGTTGTTTTACAGAGAGAAGGCGAACACTCTTCCCATGCTTCTCATTCCCAGGGATCTGCAACTGAGATTGCTAGCTCTGGTACTAGTGCAGTATCTGGTCTTGATAACAATTCACATCCCTGTCTTGTGAAGGTAAGAATTAGTCTCTTCTGCTTCTAAGTTCTTATGGAATATGTTTTATTGATATTTTAAGATCAATTCATTATTGTTTTAATTTCATGGAATTATAGCAAGTCTCTTTTCTCATATTTCTCCGTATTATGCCAGATATATGATTCTCCACAGTGTGAATTGAAACTGAATGACATTTTTGAGTTTGTGGGTATCCTTACATCTGATTCAGAGCTTCAGGAGGACAATGAAGATTCTTATTTATCAAATGGATTTTCTGAAGATCCTTTGCACCATTTCCCACCTAAGAAGGTATGCACTTTTATGTGCATTTGAAGAATTTTCGATATGCATTAGAAAACCTGTATTGTCCCATGAGGGGCACTTGACCAATGGGCAATAATAAGAGGCTATATTGTTCTTTTAGGAACAACCACAAAGAAGCATAATATACATGTGTACTATTTCTAAATTCATCCAGCATCTGGTTTTTAAATGTGCATTTTGCCATCTCTGCTGCAGGTGCCACGCCTTCATTGTTTTATTCACAGGAAACTAGAGGTTCAGGACTTCCTTCAGAATAACCTTATTCTAGAGGTAACTTATGTACCTATACGTATTTATTCATCTAACCAATGTACATGTTATGTTTTGCATCTTGAGTTAGATCATTCCCTCTACTTGAAAACTCCTTGCTGAAAAAAGCACGTGTTTGATCTCACAGCCAAAGCTCGACTTGGTCAAAGGAATCAGGGAAGCAATGCTAAGACATCTCACTACTGTTCTGGGCAATGATGATGTGGCTGCTCATTTCATGTTGCTACATCTTCTATCCAAGGTATCCAGTTATTAAAAGATCATTTTCTCTAGTCATTCATTCACTGTAAATGGTCTGGTTATTGTTCACATAGCTTCTTTCCCATTTCTACTTGTACTTTTTATAGTATGCTTCTTAATTCCCCCACCCTCCATTCTCAAAAGTATTTGTATGATGGATTGTTATTGAACAGGTGCATGCTAGATCTGATGATATTGCCGTGGGAAAATTTTCATTAAATCTTACTTGTTTTAAGAAAGAAACCGTCTCTGTATTTGGAGAACAACTAACCCTTACCCTGAAGAACCTCCTGCCATTCACATTTTACATACCCCTTACAGTTGAATACTTGAACACTGTTTCACTTGCACCAAAAAAGAATTACGATACTAACAGGTAATCACATTTTATAATCCTTCAAAACATGATCTTTTACCAGTATGCAAATATATTTACATATTTTTGTGTTAATACTCCAGACTAGAAACTGGAGTCTTGCAACTAGCTGAAGGTTCACACTTGATTGTTGATGAGACTAAACTAGAAGCTGGAACTCTCAACTCTTTAGGGGTAGAGAATGCAAGGCTGCTGAAAATTTTAATGGAGTTGCAAAAGGTAATTGTTTGCTTGTCTAGCTCTTTTATCTTACATGCTAATGTGTTCTGTTATGATACGGATATGCATTTGAGGGATACATTGTCTGTGCGTTTGCAATTATTTGTTTGGAGTTACAATTAAAGATGACATGCACTTCTCGTGTTTTTCAGGTGGAATATGATTTCAAATACTATAAAATGGACATGGCAACTGATGTCCAACTGCTAGTTTTGTCGGAGGGGAAATCAAATATCTTGCCAGCTGATGCAATTGTACCTTTCGAGCCTTCTGCATCCAATTGCTCTGAAGCTGTGACTGCAGAAGCTTTGGAAGCTTGGAGGTGGTATTTGGCCACTGTTAGACATCTGTCACACACTATTGAACCAGAAATGCAGAAGGTATGATTGACATTGGCCCTAGAGTTCACAAACAAGTTTTCTTCTGGGTCAAACTAGTTGAATAATTTATGTAGCCGTTAGCCTACACTTAGCATACAAACTCAGCAACCAACAAATTTCTAAGCTCGGCAAAAGTGTCATTTTAGTGGGGAGCTTATTGTGGGTATATTATTAATAGTTCCTCTTTGCTGATTTGTATAGTTCCTTCATTGTTTTTTAGAACCACCTATTCGGTTTACAATACTAACTTGTGTATAATTAAATGTTACGATGAGAATGCATAGCGGACCTTTGAACATTTGGGTGTTTTCAGGTGGTAGAAAATGATTTAGTTGGAGCAAGACAAGCAGACAGGAGCTTGAGTTCCCAAGATTTAAGCAGGTTAGTGTTTGGTAGCATTTTTTTTCTCTCATAGCAGTAGCACTATTTTATTGAATAACTGTTCCCCTACTTACTGCACCTTTCTCCTTTTTCCTTTCTCCGGCAGATTGGTAACAATGGGGCGGCTTTTGTCATTGAGCTATGGTGAGACCAGTTTGTCACTAGAACATTGGCAAATGGTCAAGGAACTAGAGAGGCTGCGAAGAGAGAGGTTAAAATGAAAAACAAAATGGAAGAAAAATACAAGTGGTTCCAATTTGTACAAGGTTTTAAATGAGTTTTGACGTCTTAATTTATGCAGTACAATCAGGGAAATGAATGCAGTTAGATGGATTCAAAGTGTCTGGCTTATGATTTGCATACTTCGCAGCATTATTAAACAGACTGAGGGTTCCGTAAATTCTGCATAAAGTAAAATCACGGAATATAAGGCCATTTCATTCATCCTTGTACCAATTTCTTCAATCTCTTGCCTCTATTCTAAGGCCACACCAGTGTCAGCCTTATTCTTTGTCAGCATTCTGGTAAATATTGTGTTACTTATGGACGTGAATAATTCTAAAAGTTTAACGATCTCGACTTTTTAAAAGTTTTTATTAGGTCTTTAAACTTAAAAAGATTGTAATTAGATAATGGATTTTTATAATTTTTAATTGAGTAGAGTTAATTTATTGAGTTAATCACTTATATTTTATTAATGTAAAGTTTTTTTAAAATTAATAACTAATTATATTTTTTAATAGTACCATATCAGTTATTTATTTAATAAAATAATAATAAAATAAGTAATTTGTAATGAAGGATTGATTAACTCTAATTTATTACGGTTTAACATTACTTAAAAAAAAAATATTTTAAATAATTTCACAATTAACAAATTAACTTATTTAACTTGTATGTAGTTAATTATTTTATGAAGTTGCCCCATATATATATATACATATACATATATTAATAAAAATGACTTCTTATGTCTAGTTCAAGCTAAAAAAAATAGGAAACAGGAAAAAAAAGAAAAAAAACATATGCAGGGATTCTTAGCATTTTGGCAAAGTGGTGGAGATTATATTAATAGTATCGGATATAATGTTTAGTTTTATACTTTATTCTATACGGTTTTTCAAAGATTTGTGTGAGATGTGTGATTTTTATAATAAAAAATAAAGAGTCAACTTTTAATTTTTTTCTTCTAATTTTGAGAGTATTTGAGATGTAATATATGTGAAAGATAAAATTAATTGCGATACTGTTTATGAAATACTTAATGCTCAAATAATGAAACTAGAAATTTATAGATGGTATGCTAAGTCTCTTGCACATTAATTAAACAAATCATGTCGATAAATAAGTAAATTTAAGACAACAAAAGTAATTATAAATTAGTTGGCAAGATCCAATAGTGTCAACAAACTGGTTTTATGTAACTAGCATTACCACTCCTATATATGCATGGATGTTATCTAAAAACTTATTAATTTATATTTTTCTATATAATATTTTTTGGGTACAAAATTTTAATATAAATTTTAATATTGTTTATCATTTAATACTTGTATGTTATTAAAAATAAAATTTTATAATTATAATTAATTAGGTTTTAGATATGTTGTGGTCTAAACTATAAAAGTATGGTAACTTTTGAATCTATTCCACTTTTTTTTGGGGTCATTTTTAATCCTTATATATATGTAATCTAAGTATTTGACCAAGATATTTTTAGAGGCTAAAAGTAAATGATTTGTATTTCTCAACAACAATGAAGAAAATTTATAGATGGATCAATTCCAAAAAAAAGAAGTTATAGTTTTAAAAATTAATAACATATTCCTAATTCATATTTTACTATATAAAAAATTTAATTAACAGCAAATTCAAACTAAAGAAAAAAACTCTTTATACATATCTCACTCTCTTTCTATCTAACAAATACAAATCTAAAAAAGAACATCAACTTTTTCATCTAATCTAAAGGAAATTGTATCTATATTTTTAGATTATTTATTTACTACTATTGTAGAATCTGCATTTCATAGTTATTATATATAATTAAAAGTTATAATATATATATATATATATATATATATATCATTTAAAGTTTATATAGATAAATATTTTTAATATATATAAATTATATTTTAGATTTAAGATAAATAATTTATATTACGATATAAAAGTATTTTTATTTATTAATATTTTATTTTTAAATATTAAAATTTAACTCATAAATAAATATGGAATTGAATTACATATGAAATTAAAAAAATTTCTAAAAATCTCTTTCTCAAAGAATAGTCTTTAAAATGTTTTTATGCAACATTCACATTTAATGGTTAATTTTTATAATGTTGGAATACAAAATATTAATATTATATTTTTAATATACAAATACTAAATAATTCTAAAAAAATTTACAATAAATTAAAAAATGTTCTCTTTGTATTATTAAAATTTAATATTATAGTAGTTAAATGAATAAAAAAGATTAAATAAGAACTAAAAATTAATAGAGATCGATTAAAAGTAATATAGAGTAACCTTTTAAAGTTGGATAGAGTACAAATTTGTAAAGTTCATAGGTTATAAATAGATGGATTAAGTTCATCACAAAAGATTAAAAAAAATATAAATTACACCACATGATAACTTAAACTTTTAATTAACAAAAAGAAAATATAACTATAATGGTCTTAAAAAGAATAAATCATATTAGTCACTCAGCTATAATTTTAAAAATCAGTTCAGACCGATCGGTCAAACCAATTTAATTAAAAATTAATCATATAATCAACTCAAACTTTAAGTTGGATCAATTATGTCTTCGAATAAATGAAAATTGATATAAATCGACCAATTTTTTGGTTAAACCAATGAATTACAATTCATTAATTGAGGGACAATATTTTGGATAAACAGATTGTTCCTTACTACCAAGCCAAATTATGTAGTTGTTAGATATTTATTTTAAATAAATTTTATATAAAAATCTTATAAAAGTTATAATTCATATTTAATTATATAAATTTTTACAAACATTATGACTCTTAAATTTATTTAACTATTAAGTGGTCACTAAACTAATATGTTATGTTATATAATTAACTTATAGTATGTTTTTAATTTAGAATTACATATTAATTTATGTAATTCAACCTTTCTATAATTTGATTGGTCTTTTAATATTATATTAACTAAAATATTTTTGGGGGCTTTTTAAGATATAATATGATTTTATTAAAATTTATAAATATAAAATTTATACTACATGAATATTTAAAAATTAAGTTATACAATTTAATTAATAACATATTCAATCTTTAAATCACTGATAAAGTATTTTGATTGATTTAATAATTGACTCGATTTTAGAACATTAAACTCAGCAATAAATAACCTTATAGAGAAGTCAAATTCTGTGTTAAGAAAGTTATTTTAAGCTTTATCTTACAATCCAAGTTAATATCATATAATCAAATTCAATCATTGGTTCTAGTTATAAATGATTGAGTAACCTTTTTTCTTTAATTTAAAATGAACTTAAAAGTGGGGTTTTAATTTCATTATAAAACATCTCTAAACTTTAAAATAGTATCAAATTTTGACCCTCAAATGTGTCTATTTATATAGTATGATCATTGATATTAAAAATCACAATCATTTAGATTCGAAGAATACTACCGCCACTACGAAGATGAACAACAATAATTTAAATTTCATAAATTATTAGTTTAAAAATGTTTACATGACAATTAGAGATGATTTCATATAATCATTGAAGTAGTTGAAATTTACGATGTTTTTTTTTGGTAAATGGGTGAATAAACAAACACAACAGCAAAAATAAAGAAAATAAACTAGACAGTGTCCATAGAGGACATGACGTCCAACTCTACTGCCTCAAGAACGAAAGTTGGAGCCTTATGCCAAACCACGTAGTCGACTGAGCTAAAGGCTCCCCAGCCCGCTAGAGTATGAGCCACCTTATTTATCTCCCGAGGAATCCACCTAATGAAAATTAGCCAATTTCGTGATAGTAATTCTTTTAGAGCTCGAACCAAGTCTGCGTAAACCTGCCACCTCTCCAAGCTAACGAGAGATTCGCAAGCCTCAATTACCTCTGCACAATCCGTTTCACAAATGATGTTTCTAAGCCCCACATTCCAACATAGCGATAATCCTTCTACCACCGCTGTTAGTTCTGCTTTAAGCGGGTCTCCTGTGCGAGCGGAATTAGCAAAACCAAAAAGCCACCTCCCCACGCAGTCTCTTATTACCCCTCTAGTGCCCATCAATCTTGTATTAGGTCGCCAACTACCATCTGTGTTGAGTTTAACATTAGGATGCTCAGGGGGTACCCAAGATGCAATTTCCTCCCATAATTTGCGATGATTTAAGAACACCATATTTGCAGCCACATCTGCCTTGATCTGACGCACCACATAAGGAACTGTCCAACGGGTAGTACTCAACACCATCGTGTTTCGGAGTCTCCAAACCCACCAAGCCGTCAAAGAAAGCCTTTCTGCTTGAGGGTGGAAAATAAGAGACTTGATCCAAGACATGGTGCAATTCATAGAAAAGAAATCTACGGGAGTATCTCCTGTCATCTCCCAAACATTATACGATATCGGGCAGTCGCGGAGAGCATGAAGACCATTCTCACGAGAATGATTACAGCGAGGACAAGATTCTACCATAGTGATATGACAACGAAAACGTTTGCTATTGGTGGGGAGGGCATCATGCAACCCTTTCCATAGGAATATTTTGACCTTCTCTGGAATTTTGAGGCTCCACAATTTCTTCCAGAATGGAGGAGAAGGCTCCGGACCGTGAGGGAACAAATAGTGAAAACAAGATGCTATAGAGTAACAGTCTGATGTCGTGCCAGCCCAAGAAAAGGAATCTTGTTCGCCATTAGGAAGTGAGGGAATCTGGATATGGCAGATTCGTTCCTTCCAAAGTGGAGGCACCGAAGTAGCTAGGTTGTCCAAGCACCAGGACCCTTGTGACCAACAATCCACGACTTTTAGATGAGAGTCACTTATATGTACGTAAGGCACTACCTGACTTAAGGTACCCGTCTCGAGCCAATTGTCAAACCAGGGAGAGGAGTTACCAGCACCAAGATTCACTGAATAGCCCATATGAAGAATCTGAAAGGTTCGAATGATGCTTTTCCACACATAGGAGGAGCCAGGTTTCTTACCCACTTGCCACAAAGTCTCATGTTGTAGATATTTTACGTGAAATAACTGTTCCCACGGTGTTTATCATATAAGTGTAATTAAATAAATGACAGGATAAAAGACCTTTACTATATAAATGCATTCTAATTAAATAATAATGTATTATTTTATGTTTCGCTGACTATTAGTTTTATTATTTGGCCATTATCTTTTTTTTTTTCTCTCATTATCTTCTGACTTTTGCTAATGGCGTCACGTGGCTACACCGTTCTAAGTTACAGGCATAACGAGCCAAGGATTCGCATAAAATAAAATGAAAAAGGAAGAAAAATACTAAAAGTATGAAACATTTGTACATATTAGAAAAAGAATTAATTACCTATACACTTCTAGTATAAAGTTTTTTTACACGGGCAATCAATTAGATATGTTAATAGTGCCTTTTTTTTTATTTTAATTTAATTAAATAAGTAAATGACATGACATTATTAATAGATCTGATTGGTTATCAGTGTAAAATTTTTTTACACTAACAGTGTATATGTGATTAACTCTTAGAAAAATACTAAAAATCTGAAACATTTGTACATATATTAAGAGTTAATCACCTATACACTGCCAGTGTAAAGTTTTTTTACACTGACCACCAATTATATCCTTTAATTATACCATATCACTGTTAAAAATAAATCTGTTTATAGTAACATGACACAATTAAACGATATAATTAGTTACTAGTATAAAATTTTTTTACACTATCATTATATAAGTGATTAACTCATATTAATATATCACATAACTATATTGTATAATTCTACTATGAAACAACCTATCTTCCCTTTCACCATTCTTTATTATGCAAGATTGTAAAGTGACTTCTTAATAATATATATATATA